CCATTCAATGGCACTTGGATCTATCTGTCCGTGTTGACAGTGAAGAAGTTGTCGTAGAGAAGTTTTAATTGCTCTCCTGGAATCCCAACGTCCAGTACTGAGACCATTCAGGGAGATACAGAGAGCAGTCTCTTGGGTCTGAAGTGAACGGTTTAGCTTGCAGGCAATGTACAGGACCACCGCTCTTTACCTTGTCAGAAAGTAGGGATTTATTAACACAATCATTTGACTGTTGCACACTTTTGTCAGTTTGTTTTACTTTAATGACTTGCCCTTTATCAGAGCACACGTCAGGAACGTAGTGCTTTTCCAGAGCTTCGGCATAAGCCTTAATAGAAGCGGTAGGTTCGGCTGCATACTTTTGAACAAAAGCCTCAAAGTCTTTTTTCAGCAAATTTAGGTCATATTTTATAGCTGACAGCTGTTCACATAACAGTTTGTGCACTACTTTGCCATAAGCTCTGTTGTATCTTCCCAGGGGAGCCTTTCCAAATTCCAATTTTTTATCTTATTTTTATTTCCCTTAAGGTTAGTAGGTGAGCTAGCAAGTTGTACTGGAGACATGCAATAAGAGACTGGGAGGGAATCCAAATTTTCATTTAACTCTTCCCTGACAGATAGTGAAAAATCTAACAACTGTTGTTTTTCCAATTCTGTTTGAAAGTCCCGTTCAAGTGATTCAAGGGCTGCAAATTTGTTGGAAGTGGGAGGAAAATCTGTTTTACTTATAGATCCTTTTGTGTAAAAAAGTTCTCTCTTTGGTTGTCTAGCAGACTTTGATGAGGAGAGAGAACTCAGACTGATTTTTTTTATTTCATTTATTTATTTATTATTAAATTTATATGCCACCCATCTCCCCCAGAGGGATGCCATGTTGTTTCTTTCTTTTTCCCATGTTATTCAAATTCAGACACTCTTGCTTGCCCCTTTGCCTCCACAACTGTCACACAGTGAATAGTTGTGAATATATTTAAAATAGTCTAGTAAGTCCAGTAAAAATTTAATAAAAATCTACAGTAATGTAATAACTTATTTTAACTATAACTAAAAATAAACAAAAGTAGTTAAAATACTATTTCAAAATTAATATAAAATTTAAAAGGGCAGGAGTGTGGAAAAATGTGTGTTGCTGGGCTGCTGTGTTGGCTCCACCCCCAGTCTTTCAAAGACTCTGCTTGTCTGGAGGACATGTAGGGCATTTGTATTCCAAACTGCAGAATAAAATACCATCATGCTTCTTACCTTTCTGTTCAGAACAGCAGTATAGTATGATTTGTATCTTCTATGCATAGAAAGTCCACAGACACTTCTTAGTTCATGACCACAGATTCTGTTTAATTGTGTTAATTACTTTAACAAAAACATACAACTTTTTGCAACTGATAACAGTGTTTAATCAAGCAAACCCAAGGAAACAGCTAAAGCTTTAGACTTTTTTAGCCATATCCAAAAACAATATAACACATTAAGTTTTTTCTATCATCTTATCCTTTCCCCACTTTAGGCTATAAACTTATTAACAAATAAGGCTATTTATAGTTTTTGTGTTTGATTTAGACAAGATTTATACATACAATTACATTCAAAAGAAACTCCCTAGAAATATTATGTTGTACAAATACAGTGTAGTTATTTTAGATAACTTTACTGATCTATAAGGTAGGTCAAAGTAGCACGCTCCCATTAATAAGCACTTTCTTCTTTTTGTATAGTTTCATAAGCAATGCCAATCACAATATTACAGCATTTTTCTCAATGGAGTTTCTTCTTCTGATCCTCAAACCAACTCCAGAACCAAGCATTTCATAGACATTTTGGGAAGCTGCAAGCATCAGTAGTGTTATGGAACTGTATAAATAACTTAAAGTAATAGCATAAATATAAAAAATCTTATACTCCTATTTTGCAATTGACAATGCCAGTGGCAATTTTAAAGTAAGCAAGAAACACACATGATGCCCGTGAAAGTGCTTTCCCACTGAACATTCAAGAATTCTTCTGTAATGGTAGGAATTTGCGTGCCCATTTTCTGGCATCTCCAAACCATTTACTCTGTATAGGATTTCACATGTAAAACTGAAGAAACCATCCAGGAATGGACTAAATCATCTAATGGTTAAACTAATTCATTTAGATGAATATTTTCTGTTATTTTAAAGTAATTATAGATTATGGCCAAAGTCATTCTTGTAGTTCAACAAAAAAGGTCCTTTGACTAGTTGTTTCTTAACGCCAAACCAATCGATAGAAAATCTGTAAGGACTGCAACTAAAAGTACAGTTTCATGAGAAACGTACATTTGGAATTCTAATTTTTCAGATACATCAAGAGAATTTACCCTATTTAAACATATAAGTAGTATTTATGCAATGATATGTATAATCTGATTCTTTTTTTTTAAGTCTGAATTTTGCCACTATTTCACAAATGACAACCTCTGCATCGGGAATCTGTCTAGCAGCACTCCAGATTTGGAGTGCGAGAATAGCTAAAACAAATGTATAACTCCAGATATTATAGCCTTCATTAAGAAGTGATCACTTGGATAGACTACATACTCGGGGTAACCCAGCATGCTCTGATTGTTCCCACCTTCATCATAAGGTTTCCCTGTACCCTACAAAGGACGACCAACCAGGCCAAATAAATATTTTGAATTAGGAATCCGTTAAAGGTAAAGTGGGGGCAGAATGGACAGCTATAAAGACTTTCAGCTGAAACAATGCCTCATCTTTTTGTAGTCTGCCATCTTTTTTTTTTTTTTGAGAAACCCTTGCTCATTAATTTGTTAAATGGCCTCTTTGCAAATTTCTTCATTTGTACCACTAAGAAAAATTTAAACTTCATTGAACAGGCAAACTAAAATGTTTGTTCCCCACCTTTTAAACTAAGTTTCTCACAAACATAATATCTCTGTAATAGAGGATCAGTCACTATATCCAAATATTTACATTAAGTATCTCTTGTATAAGCAAATGTTTAAAACTATTCACACATTGACCTACTTTCTGAAAACTCAATTAGTATTCACATTTCTTTTTTGAAAAATAACATCTCTTCCTTGTAAAAGCCTACCATTCAAATCCCAATCAAATCTCAGATTCAGATATGCTTATTTTAATTTATCAGAAACCATTTTTACTCAATACTAACTTACTAAAGAACTTGATTTTACCTTCATAGTTCCTTCCAGGATCTGGGTCCTGTACGGTTCAAACAGTCTAAAAAAATTCTCAGAATAAGTTCAATCTATGTCTCTTGGTCAGCAGAGGACTGCAAATCCTGTACATCTTGCAGGCATGTAAAATATATTTAAGCATAAAAATCAGAAAGTACATTATCCATTGACTCCACAGCCATTTAAATCTGGAGAAATCATTCAGTACCTAATAGTTGGGCTTCTATTTGTCACCTTTTGATTTATATTTTACTTTATGGCAATATCCATTATCCTGGCTTATTGCTGTAGCAAAGGGGCTTCTAATGTCAAGCGTGGTGCAGATCATTTAGCTGAACCTTAGGGAAAAGCAATAAACTGTGTTCATGGAGTGATACAGGCAAGAACAGGTTCAAATCAGATATTTCTTAAAATTACTTGATAAGCGCCTGTTTTATTTATTTTTGTTTCTACATTTTGTCTTCATGTTTTTTCTGATACCCCTTCAAAAGCTGTAGCATTCAGAATGAAAGTCAGCACTTAGCACATTCGTAAACCACCTCAGTCTTATCTCCTTTTCTGTTTGTGAGCCTTACATTTCTTTTTTTTATGAGTTTGTGCATGCTGCTGCAGATCATGCCTATTTCTAGCAGAAAACTTACATTGGTTACACTTGAAATGGGTTGCCAAGTGGCGGTTTAAATGGCTAGATGTTCGGAAAGCAAGGCTGCAGTGAGTGCATTTATGTGGCTTCTCCCCTGTGTGTATCTGAAAGTGAACCTTCAAGTTTCCATTACGAGTGGTTGCATAGTCACACTTTTCACATTTATAGATTTTGACAGGCATGGAAGGTTGCTTCTGAAGGTGGCCACTAACTGGCAGCTGTGATTCTTGATGTGAAGCCACATGTTGTTTAAAGGACCGCCAGTTCCCTGTTGAAAAGTCACAACGGCTACATTTGAGGTGCCTCAAATTTTGATGCACAAGCTTATGACGCTTCAGGTGATTTGGCATGCGAAACTTTCTTTGGCACACATCACAACTGTATGGCTTTTCTCCTACATGTATTCTTATATGACATTTCAGCCTGTTTAGTATGTAAGTAGCATAATCACAGTACTCACATTTGTGGACTTGAAAGCTGTTTTCTTGGGATTTGAGTGTGCCTATCTTTCCTTTTCTTTCAGCCATGTCTATTTGTTTCTTTGCATTCTCATTATTTAGAGATGGAAATTGAAATCTTTTTCCAGCTGGATCCTCACCTTTGCAGGTTTCCTGGTGCACCTTAAACTCATCTACAGTTCCGCCTACAAAGAGGCACTTCTGATGCTTCAGTAAGTGTGACGTTTTATGCCGTTTTAAATGACTGGAATTTCGAAAGGATTTGTCACATTCTTGACACTTGAATGGCTTCTCTCCAGTGTGGACACTAAAATGTACTCGCAGGTTGCTGAATGAGCTAGTGGTGTAAGTACAGTGAGGGCATTTGAATAATTTAAGAGCCAGTCCACATGAATGTCTTATCCCAGGCAGTGTATTATTCCCCTTGGCCACTTGATAATTACAAGCCTCATTTTTATTTGGCTGAGCTTGTAAATGAATAGCTCTGTGATAAACCAAGTGTTCTTCTCTGCGAAAGACCAAGTGACAGGTTTGACAAACATAAATATTGGGAAAAATGCCGGATATTTCATCCCATTCAACATTGCTTTTGCAGTCGTTTTTCTGTACATGCAGCTCTTTCCATGAACCATCATCCTGTTCACCTTCTGGCATCAGCTGTGTATTTACTACTTTCTCCTTGCCAGAAGTATACAGAACCTGCGTCTTTTGACAAAAGCTGTCTCCCTTGTTTTGCTTGCATTCCTTGAAATAGTTTTTTGGAAATACTTTATCACAGTCCTGGGGTTGCAAGTGGTACTTCTGGTGACACTGGAAATGTTTATATGTATAAAACACTATTTTACACTTATGGCACTCATATTTCTTTTCAGGACTCAAGGTCTCCTTCTGGGCAATAGGCAGATTGTTGATTTTTTCTACATGGCCTACTGTACTTACATGTCTTTTTAAATTACTTGCACTTGTAAAGCCTAGGTCACAGCCAGGACATCGGTAAGGCCTGGCCCCTGTATGGAGGAAGCTGTGTTTGACCATGCTATTAATGTAGTGAGAAAAAAAAGCACAGAAATTGCATTTGAATAGCTTATACCCAGCATGCCAGTACATGTGGTTGAGTATATGAGAATGATTATCAGAAGAATATTCACACTGAGGACACTGATAAACGAGTCCACCATTATGCTTCTTTATATGATCTATAAAGTATCTTGGACTTTGGGAAGAAAATGGGCATATTTTGCAAGTGAATATTTTTGAAGGCTTCAGTTCCTTTTTCATTTCCCTGAAGAATTTCTCATACTTGTTTTCCTTTTTTTTCTCAGTTGTCTTCCTTTCCACAACGGTTTTATCTTTCTTCCTCCTGCTTTTTCCAGTATCACTTTTATTTTCCCTTCTCTTCTTTAATGTCACTCGTCTCTTTTTTAATGATGTCAACGGTATATGCAATTTGTGGTGGTATTTAAAGTTGGTAGGAAAAAAGAATATTTTGTGGCAAAAGTTACATTTGTAGATTTGTTTATTCTGATGAATAGCAGAGATATGTTTTCTTAATTGGGTAGGTGACGTATATCTCCAATTACAAAACAAACATTTCCAAACACCTCTTATACAGGTTTTCCTGGTTGTGATCAAGGAAGTTTTGCTCTTGGACTTATTTGTTAGTAGCAATGCCTTCTTTGCTTGCTCTTCCTGCAACTGTTGACCATATTCTGTACTCTCACCAGAACCATTAAGATTTTCCCATCTATCATACCATTCAGGAAAATCAGTGACTTGAGGTTGAACCAGATGCTCAGAAACATCTTGCGCACTGTTACTGCAACCATTCTTTGTGCTAATTCTTCCAGGCTCTTCCAGAAAATGTTCCAGAGGGCAGTGATCATTAACAATGCAGGAGTCCCATTGCTCATTTTCAGCTTTAACACCCCAATTTTCTTCTGATTTGTTACCCAGGAATGCATCATCCTCAAGTCCAATATTCCTCTTAGGTCCACCACTGGCTTTCTTAAATCCAGTCTCCAAAGAAGCAGCACCTAAAGAATTATTCAGAAAGTCACATGACACCTTGTTCAGATACAGCCCAGTTCTCCATTCCCCTGCAGACAATCATAAAGGGTCCTTTTACATAAGCCTCCATCTTGCTTTATTTATATACAGTACTCAACACATACACTTAATTTTATAAGTATACTTAGTTTTTTTGAAGTGAGTTATACTTCATAAGTACTAAGGAATTAAATCCCAAGAAACCCAGTTATAGCCTCCAACAATCAGCAGTGCTAACCAATAACCTTATTCCTACAGCTACACTTCAGTCCAGAGGCTCTAGACTTCAGCATCCTATTTGCACTGTCTATCCAATTCTGCTATATCTGAAGAACTATCAGAATGGTATATATAGTCCACCTTCCTGTAAATACCTTTTTGATAGTTAAGAGAGCCTAGATATCCCTTCCTGAAACTGCTGAGCACCAGACCCTGGATAGCTCCTAAAGCTAATCCATTTTATATAATAGTCATCTAAAGCATGAAGGTCCATGAATTCAATTCCCATTAGAGATTCTGAATCCCATAGAATAACATCTGTCTATCCATGTCTGAAAAACTAGTGAATTCAGCAGACAGGAGAGCAGAAACAATGGGCTAAAATGGATGACATCATTTTTTGTTTAAAAAAAAAAAACGAGCTCTGTGGAAGCTGCTTGGCATTTTGCCAATTCTGAAACCTGCTTCAGTACCAATAATAATTAATGTATTATTCACTTAAGTATAAGTGAAGTATTTCTCAAGTCTATTTTTCTCTATAAGTTCCCCAAATGTTGTTTGAAGTGAAGCTACAGTACATGGTTTCACAATTTTTAGCAGTTCCACAATCCACTAACCAAAGACAGTTTTCACCTTTCCATACGTGAACAACTGATGTTATTAATATTCTTAAAGAGGATAGCAAATAATGTTTAAACCTCACCCAGCAGTGCTTGCTTCTAAATACAGAGTATCTGGATTCTGGAGGTCAGATCTTTCAGGAAACAAGTGAACATATTTTCATTTTAGCTCAATCATAATAGAAGATTTACCTTCAGAATGAGCATTTGCATTCATGTCCATGCAAAGAGGCTTCACCAAACTCTCTTGAACACATTTATTTTTAACTCCTTCCAATTCCTGTACAATCGATGAAGTCCTCTGAATGACTTCATATGTCAGATGATTCTCTCCCTTACCTGGAATGCTCAAATAAGGATTTAATATTCTTTGATAAAAGCTGTGATTGCTCTCCACTGTTTTCACACATGTAATTTTAATGCCATCATGCTCCTTGTGATTCAAGAAGCCCATTCCCCAGTTTTGACTATGATCAAAATGGTTCAGTATATTCTGCAAAGAGGTCATTTGGACTACATTTTCATTCTTTAGTATCATAGTTTCTTCATCATCATCCTTCACTTTCACAACTTCAACCAGTTCAATCTCTTTTTTCCCATGATTTTGCAACTGTTCATCTTCACATTCTATTCTTCTATCTTCTTTTGCCTGACTTTTAAAATACCCATCTTTATTCACAGCTGGGCACTCTTCTTCTCCATATCCCAAAAAATCATCATCACTTAGTTCAAAGATAGTGATAGGGAGAACAATTTCAAATACTTCAGGCTCTGTAAACAAAACCCAGAAAGGATCAGTGGTAAGATTAATCATGACCATCTCTAATATAAATAACTATTTCTTTCATAGGCTTAATATTCATAATAGATTAATCTTACCTTGAATCAGCATGACTCCAGGGAAGAAAATTCAATTTAACTTAAATAGTAACCCCTGCTAATAATTTGCAGTTGCTTTGGTTCATGGAAGGCAACGAGAGCTAAAGTATACCCTATGTAAAACATTTTTTCCCTAAATAATTACCTGTGAATTGGGGTGGGAGTGTGTCTTACATTTGTTGATAAGGATAGAAGCAATTGAGGAAGTGCAAGGAAGTGCAGGGAGGTTCAAATGCCTGCAGACATCCCAGCTACAGAATGTGGATACCTTCAAAGTAAACCTGAAGCTCCCTGCTGCTTGGGAGAAGCTGTTTGTCTGGTATACTCAATTCTTTTGTAACATCTACACAGCATTAACCTCTCTTTTCTTTCCTGTCCCCTTACCAAATCTGCTTCCCTCATCTCTGTCCTATTTCATCTCTTCCTCCCTTGTCTTCCCTTTCCTGTCAACTTTGTAGGAAGACAACTGTGTGGGGGAAAAAATCAGGAAGTCTGATAACACCTTTTCTGATTAACAACTGTTATTAAATTGATAAGGTACTTGTACTCTGTCTCACATGTAACCTGCATCTACAGTCTGCCTTCCTTTCCCTCCGCTTGCCCCTGCCCTCATCCCAATTCAGACTCTACATCAGTCTAGCCCCTCTGTGCATGTGATGAAGTGAGCCACTGCTCAGGAAGTTACTCTTTTGGCTTATCACATCTCTTTTCTGCTTCTTCTTCTTCTTGACTGTTGTTTTTTAAAATAAGGGAGGGGAATTATGGTGTGTCCTTTGCTTTTGTGCATGAGGCCAATTTGTGTGAGTGAAGGATTGGTATACGCAGATGGTGACAAATAATTTTGTAATTGGGGATCCTTGTTTTGCAGGGAATTAATTTTAATCAGTAGTTGTTAATTAAATTAAAATATATTTATTTTTGTCCTGACCTTGCTGGCTTACACACACATTTGCACAAACATATTCAAGACATGGTAACCCTAGAATAAAAAAATAGGGAAGCTGCATATTGTACAGGATTTTTGTCTGCATTTAACATGTTTTTTGGGAAAGGAATCACGTTAAATTCAGGAATTTAACTTAATTTTCCTTCCAGGAAAATACAAAAGATTTTCAAAAAATATACTTGGGGAACTGAAATTAAATCTTCTACCAATTCATGGCAGATCAAAGGAAAAGAACAGCATTAGACTTCAGGATCTAAATTTGTTTTAAACAAAATTGGATTTTAAAAATGGAAGGTTTCTACTAAGACAGTGGGAAATATATTTCCAAAATGCTTATTAAAGTTTTGAATAACATATTACATATTTTTCTCAATCTTCAAGTAAAGTATATTTCAAGCAATCTATGGCCTGTATCTGGCTTCTTAGCACTTCAAGACTGTGGCGTCAAAATTTAGTTGCAGAATGACTGCAACTCAGCACAATTTAGTATGTATTTGATTGGAGAAGGGGGAGGAGGAGGCCAGGAAGGGGCTTTAAGGGTGTGAATGGAACAATTGAACTTCTGGAACTTTCTAGAAGGCTTCTTCTGCACTTGCTGTTGATACCCATTTAAATCAATGGATTATTCATTAGCTTTCTGTTATTGAAAGCATAGTCTTTTTACAGCCAATTAAAGGCAAAGGCAACCAGATAAATTTAATAAATGTAGGCACTTGCCTTCCATCTGCAGTTTAATGCTGGCTATCCCCTTTGCATCAGGACTGCAGGAGTGTATTATCTGCTTGTGGAACAGAGCACAGCAATTTATGAGTGGACTAACTCTTTCTGCTAAAGTTATCTCAATATGAATCATATATTATACATGTATTATTCTTCTGGGTAATATTTTGTTTAAACATTATAAGCCAGTGGTCAGAAGGGTAGGGAGCATTTTGGTTTCTACATAAAATTACAATCAGGGCTGTCTGAATGAGCTTGCAAGTGCTAAAATAAGTACATTCTACCTCTGTCTTTTCTGGACCTAAGATCCCAGACCTCAGTTGGATGGACTTTTGAACAAGCAAGTAGAGGACTGCAAACAGCAGTTTAACCAATTATTTTACAGGTAGTCCCTAGTTTAAGAACGAGTTCCATTCCCAAAGTATATCCTTAAGTCAAATTTGTATGTAAGCTGGAACAATACTATTGTATACATAGCATTGTGTAATGAACTTGAACCATTGTATATTTAACTCGATTTTTGCTACAATAGGCTCAGTTCTTAACTATGGGTTGTCCGTAAACCGCGCATTCTTAACCCAGGGACCACCGGTATAGAAAAAATGTTTCTAAAGTTGGTTCTTTTCCCTCCACCTGTTCAGTACAAAACCATCTGCTGTGCTATTTTTTCATTTTATATTCATTTATTTATATTTCAAATTTGTCACCACCCATCTCACTGCAGAGCAATTCTGGGCAGTTTACAGCATAACAGAATAAATATTAATTAAAATAAAATAAATATTAATTAAATACGCTTTATAATTATTAATATAATTCAATTAATATAGCCACCCATCTCACATTTGTGACTCTGGGTGCTTACAATTAAAACATAACTAGTACCAAAAAAATAAAAGTCACACAGACAATACAAGCCTTAAAAACAATTAAAGACATAGAGTACAGTGATACCTCGGGATACGAACGCCTCTGCTTGCGAATTTTTCGGGTTACGACCAACTCGGGTTACGCCCAGAGTCACGGAATGGATTAAGTTCGTATCCCG